ACCGTGCCATCCACCTGCAGCCTCCCCCGCCTCCGGTCCAGGTTGGGGACGGAAGAGTGCGGCAGATGCTGTGCAAGCCTGCATTAACTATAAACTAATTCACGCACAAATCACCATCCCTGCTCCACCATGCCGTCGGGCACACGGTGGGCGTTGCCGTCAACGATGGTCGAAATATCGTGTGGGGGCAGCTGTCACGTTAGCTTCTGCCCCCAGGACGTAGACTCGGACAGCGCACTTCTGTATTCAAGGAGATAGACTAAGTGAGGTCAGTCCGGTGAAGCCTTACTCATTTCAAACCAGTGTATCCCCCACAAAAGTTAATTTCTGATGTGCCAAATAGTCATATCTTTGGAGATTGCTAGTTAAAGCAACAACCTCTTACTCCTCTGGACAGCAACGGCTTCTTTTAGACGTATATGAGCTTTGTGGAATCTCTCATCCCATGAGGTTAGAATTACTGTGTGACGCATGCTGGACGGAGAATTTTCGCCACGTCAATTGCTTGGTCGGTTTGACTCCTAGACGCCACTGGTGCATATCAGGGAGAAGAGTATGTGGCAGACACGGCTTGCGTTCTGCACTCAGTTCCTCATCCAAAATAGTCAAGTACGCGTTGAAACTGTCACTAAACGCGGAGTCGTGTGTCATTACTTTACTAACTGACTTAAGAGCTCAGTCTTATTCGGGTCCCAGGGTGAGGGTGTGATGGTTTCATTCTAATGCGAATTTTATGACATTTCATATTCTGGGATCCAAGATGTACCATGAACCAACCTCAGTTTAGGCGAAACTCGAGGCCCGACTGTCTGCTGCACGCGTAGAGGGGTTGCTCACCTCTATAAGCACTGTACCCACGCCCGCCTATGATCATCCTACCTTTACCCTTCCATTGGGGAACAATGGATGTGCGAAGATAGATTGAACTAAGTGTCAGGTCAGTCTGCTTCACTGTAACCACCGCGGGCAATTCACGGCTGAACCCGCCACCTGGATCTGTAGGGCATCCCGTTGCTTTCCGCGATTGATCTATCTGTCATAGTAAAAGACACGGATGTCCTTAAGCAGAAATCTTTCTTCACAGGGAGGCAGTTGGAGATATCGAAAAGTGACACTTTACCAGACAAACATCCGTTTGTTAGCATATTTTAGATTAGCTTGTTTTGGGGCAATTTCTCCTAATAATTCGAGCGTTCGACCGCGCCTTCCGAACGAAGTAATATGTAGCCCATGTATTTTCGACGTCTTCTGCCTTTTATTTTACAATTAGAAAAGCCGGCAAGCTGGCTGAATGAGGAATATGCTTATTCCAGTTGTCCGAAAGCATAGACTTCAATGAAGAGTAAGTGGATGTGAGATCGTAAAGGCTTACCTTAACATAAATATCTGTATAATATATGTATAAAATACGACTACTCAGTAACATTTTAGAAGCCCGTATTTGTGATTTCCTAACCTTAAAACTTTATATAGCGTTTTATTTATAAGTCTTTTGGCAACCATGAATACTTTCACTTGTCTTCTTATGAAAACTCGGCTGTCCGGTTAAATTTATCTCCCCCAACAGCAACAGTGCAATAAGATAAGATAAGAAGAAGATAATATCTAAAACCGTCACACTATATCAAATATTTAATGTTATGCAATAGAAGTGTTGCCACAAGAACCTGGTTTGGCAATCTTTATATATTCATCATTTATTTTGAAAGGCGGCCTTAGGAGTGGAAGTTTTGGCGTTTGTTTTCTAGTTTTTAAGAGCTTAAGTTTGTACTTGATATGTAATGCCAACAATGAAGATTTTCAGTTCGTCTATGAGATGTTGCAAACATACGTTTCGGAGTCAGCACTTGCAGTAGGTGACGGATGAGTCATCTTAATGATCTACAAACACCAAACTTTCAAATTTGTGAAAAACACGCGGGTTCATGTAAGTGTATGAGGTAGGGATTGGGGGAAGGCCTCCAAGCATCTGCGGCATGCAAAGAATACCTCCTACACTTATTTAACTGGGGTTTAGTCCGACACGATTATTTCGGTTTGGCGTTTCATTGTGCAAGTTTTGGTTGTCTTTTGCAGACGCTCTGGTGCATTGTCCACAATAACCTCAGTTCAGATAGTTGAGAAGCGATCTCTGTGGACAGTCTGTTGGATAAGCTACAATGACCTCAGCTCAGAGACTGCATAAGCGATCGTTGTAGACACTTAATTTTTATTTTTCTCAATTGCCCAGAATACCAGAAAATTCGTCTTAGACAGAGCAGAATAAAAACCATTTTTCCTGGTTGAGAAGTAATTATCATGAAATTCTCCGTGGCAGTTAAATGCCGTTCTAGTCAACTTACGAACGCAAACACTTCGATTGTTTCGTTGTAGCATTGACCAATTCGCTGTAAAGCATTAACTGAAATAAAAATAAATTTTAATTCTATAAATAGAGGAGGAATCGACGTAGGTGTGTTAAGTTTAACAAAGAGTAAAGTGTACAGTTAAGGTGCTATGATTATTCAAGCGCAAATGGATGAGCAGATAGTATCATGTATATATGTGTGGCAGATATTTGCAGTTATACACTCGCTCAAAACGTACTACATCACGTATTTTCATCCACATGTTAAATAGTCAGCTATGACGCAAATGCTCGAAGCGTATTCGCGACGCCCAAAAAAGCTAATTCCCCACGTCTACTCCCTCGATTAACATTTGCGTATTAACGTTCTCACTTGTGTTTGGTGTTGTTTGCCTTGACGCATTGACGGGGTTTAAAATGGTTTTGTTTACACTATTTCATTCGCCTCATAATCAGCTTATTTCACGGTAAGTGAACGCAGATTCTCTTGTTCTACGATTATTTCAGGCAATGAAGTCTAAAATTTTGAAAGCCGAAATCTCCAAAGAATTCAGCTTTTTGGTTAGCTGCTTGGTACCGCCTGTCCAACTAGAAAGCAAACAACGCGGGGTACTGTTAATTTCCTTCTTTCCGGATTTTATAAGGAAGTCCCATCTTAAGAATGCGTAGAATAGAGGAATCGAGTTTTTCTTGACGATAGAAACCCTGTCATCGTGAAGGATCATCTGTTGCACGTCGAGTAACAGTGCAGACAGATGTGGCCTTCAAACAACTATCTTGGCCAATGACGCAGCCAAACGCCGCCGACCTTCAAACCTGCGGCTGCGCATCGTTCTAGTCCTACTAGCCAGCCCATTCTTCACAATTTTGCCGTCTGATTATGAGGTTCACTGCATACTTAAAGCATCTTCGAAGTATATTCGAGATTTCCCAAAGTTTTCCTCGCAGTCTATCACCACAAGCTTTACTGGGACATGCTTTTACTAAAATCTAATCTTTCGGAGAAAACGCGACGTACTTTTATGGACCCGCCTTCAATAGATATCCATGAATTTGGAGTCCTGTATGAAGGACTGATTTTCTAGGAAAAGTTTTCAAGAGAGGAAATACGGAAATGAATGTGTTGGCTGGAGATAATTAAAAGTCCTAAGTACCATAAATAGCTTTTTAACAAGATTCGCCGTAAAAGTATGTTTATTGTTCTATTGTCATAACTAGTGATCATGGCTATTTTTCGTTGTCGATTTTTGTACACAATCTGTGTCTACGGAATCTTTGACCGCGGATAAACTTAGTTATTTCGTCTTATTGCAACTATCCGAAGTAACGTCAGGGGTTTGTTCAGCTGCAAGGCACAGAGAGACATTTAGCTGTAGCAAGAACCATATAAGAATTAATGCCGGCCTCTTTTCCCTTCCTACAAAAGTTCAGTATTTGTTTGAGATTTACTCGCGGACATCTTCCTATACAATACTTCCGAGGAATGACTAATTGCATTTGTACGTACTGGAAAAGCAAAATAGCTATTTTATTAAGGTACCGTCCGCAATAGATTGAGTAGAAAATTTCGATCGTCCTCGCTTCCCGTATTGATAAAACTTTGTTTACCGTGTGTTGCATCGTGAGGACGTCTAAAGAAAATTCCAAGCTTTATGTGACTCGCTCCCCTCGATTATTAAATACCTCGTACACGGTGGTTAAAAAATTCGTTTATAAGGTAATCTTGTTCTTGATATCACTTAACAATACGAAACTCTGACGGTTGGTACAAAAAGCATGCAAATCAGTTTTGAAATAAAAAGTTGACAGCTGGAAGAATAAAAAAAGGCTGGTGATCGGATAGGAGGGTGGGATTTGGCAAACGTCAAAAAAACTAGACAAAAGTAAGATAAATCATCACTCATCAGGCCTTTGGACATAATCTATTTTCAGAAATTTCTTGTACACTCCGCGTAAGTGTAATGAATAAGCACAGGCTAGGATCAGTACAATAAGGAGGAGGGTGCTAAGAATCACATTAGTCCACATAGACAATAAAAGTAATCTTTTATATTCCTCCTCTTTTGAACAAGTGCCTACTTCGCTAACTAGACTGGTCTGTGTAAAAGCAGCTACTATGCTCTTCACATCCTCGCAGCTGCAGCAGGTTTTCTGTGCATCGGTTACGTCAGGACCTGCGGTTCTTTTTGTAGATACGACACTTAAGTCAGAGACGGCTTGGTCATTCTGCATCATTTCTGGCCCTGACTGTCTCATCTCCCCTTTGTCACAGTGTTTGCTATGTGTTGTTTTATCAGCGGCCAAAGCAAAATAGTCACGCTCGGGACAAAAGAAAATAAATTCTACACTGCATTCACCACTGTCTTCACCGTCGGATACGGACAAGCCAGCATATTCACAGTCCTCCGCTTTGAATGACTCCAGTCTTAGCGGTGTGAGTATGCCCTTATCAATAGAGGTAGTGTGACCGAGTTGTAGTGATAAACGTCTTAACCAAACAGAAAGGTGCTTAAAGTCCTCATTGTGAAGATGTGCGACAGATACTTCAAGCGTAAGATAGAGAGTTTCCGGAATTGGCTCTGTAGACATAAGGGCTGCTCTGATTGCTAAGGCAAAACCCTCAGATAAAAAATCCACGACGGCCTCATGACCCTTATTTGGACCGTTCGTTGCCTTCGGCAGAGACGAGATTATGATATGAAAGAGGCTACCTGATTGGTGGGCAGTACATTTCACAGTGACAGGGTGCCGACTTGAGTGCTGAATCTTGTTTGTTGCATTAGTAATGTGCTTGCAGACAAGGTTTCGTTGGTTTGCGGAGACTCCAGGGACAGAACGTTGACTGGGGACAATTTGAATCCAGCAGACCAACCGACAGTCGACTTTAACGTATTCCCCAACTACAGGCAGGTTCCAAGTATCCGACGAGAGCTCGTTTTGATTCCGGACTTTGGCCTTAGTCTCATACACGGATTGTGCATACTCATTCCAGGATATGAGATTGTCGCTGAGCGAGTGTATGAACTCCTCCATCGAAAGATTGTGCTCAGCCCGTTTTGTATCGACAGCAGTAGTACAAACGCCGCCGATAATAGCATCGCCGGGTTTCAGGGGTTGGTAAAGGCCGAGGATTGTCAGAATGAGGATACGAGAAATTAACCTCAAGTGCATTTGCCTCTTGGAATCCGCCTTGGTGTCTGACACCCTGAATGTCGGCTGGGTGACTAGCTGACGATGGTGGCGCTGTTGATGGTTTTGCTTCTTCAACTTGCGGGTTCAGCTGAGTCATATGCACAGGCCGCTGAGCGTTCCATCCGCGGCTCTGACGAATTTACAGGGCGTGTAGTGCCGACGAGGCACCTTCCTGCGGCCTGTTCTCGTGGTCGCTTCGACGATAGCGTGCCTGCGCCGGCCAATCTGCGCGCGTTCGGTGCCCGCCACACGCTTGCGCGCGTTCGTCCAGACACAGCAGCCGTCCGTAATGCCGTGCTGAAAGGAGACATGAAATAAACACCAGTAGGAAGACGCGCAACTGCCACGTCAACGTTTGACTAAAATGCATTAGTTGCGCCATCAGGAAGCTCGTGCGTATGCGAATGTGCCTCTTTCCCTAGGACTGCATGCCCGGGTGTGTATGAAGTCGCAGCCTGCTCAACATGTAACTGTAGTTGTGGTTTTATCATCCAAACGTAGAGGCCTTTAAGACGTCGGCCTACCGGGCGCGCACAGGTTGTTTAGTAGTTTTTTCAACAACCACTTCATTCAGTCGTTAGAATACGCGGCGAGGATCTGCAATAACAGTCTTTCTCATGATGGAAATAGCTCTTTAATGCTAAAGCCCTAATTTACGGAAATCTGGTCTCAGAGACCGCGGATGAAATCAGACCTGTAAATGAGCAAGTCGTTTGGATAACTCACATGCGTTAACATTTGGGTGTACTTGTAGCTGCGAAAATGTGTATAATTACCAGTACTCACATTTTACTTCCTTTTCACCTGCGTGTCCTCAATGCCGATCGGTTAATATGTCCCTCTAGGGGGGAGGGGACGCCTCTTCCCCTATTGAATGAAAGCGGTTAGTCTCATGGATATATGTTGTCTGCATCTGTTCTTCGTCACAAGACTTGCATCACAACAGGCGTAGGCAGATTATGAAGCTTCAACTGCTCTTACCGGGTTTTACTTGAGCGAGGTGAGATCCTACATGACGTTGGAGTCTGCACCCTTTAGATCTTCCGGACGTGTAGTTCTTTCTGTAACTCACGAGGTATTCCACACATTTTCTGCCCATAGCTTGCATAGGCAACCTCAAGGGTAATTTACCAGTAATAGTTCTGTAACAAATACGACTTTTTTCCTGACGTGTCTCTTAATTATAAATTATCATATTTGCTGGCAGTACACGTTGTGGTATTTGTTCAGCTACTATTTGTTTACATTTCTTAGGTCTAGTGCGTGGTTAATACATGCAATAAGCCCCAAGATCTGACTTCTCAAATATAGCTAGATATAACTTATGATTTTGTTCGTATAATGACCACACTAGAGGTTCTTAGGATCACTGTTGCAGCAGTCTATAATTTTACTCAGGAATAACGCACCGATGCACAAAACGTAGACTAGTCTCTGCTTTTAATATGTACATGCAACATTTCTTCTGCTAAGTAAATCGGTGCGCCGGGAATTCATCGTAACTGGGAAGCTGACAAGAATAAACTTCTTCCGACCAAATCGTGGGAACGATAAAATGTGCGGACTTTTAAAATAATAGTTAAGAGTACCTAACTTACTATCACTAACAATAGTGTATATGCATATTTTCAAGGTGTGGTGGTACGCCTAGTTGCGAGTCCGGCCGTGCCAATCATCTACGCTTAGGGGGGGAGAGAGTGCGGTAACTGCGCGCAAATCTTCTATCACTGCAAACTAACCCACGCACAGGTCACTGTACCTGTTCTCACTTTGCTTTGGAGGGCACGGCGGACGCCGTCGACAACGACGATCGAACTGTCATATGTATATTTGAACAATACTCTCACAGTATCTCCTACGTCGAGGTACTGGCTTGCACTTGAGACGTTTAATAAACTCAGAGAAGCGTATGTTTAAAATGTCAGCGGTGGATTTTCGTAGTGCTCTGTTATGCCAGAAAGCACTAGCAGTAATCCTAACACTTCCATGTCTTTACTTTTTCCCTGTAAAGGCTAAGTAAATGTTCTTCGGAGAAAATGCAAGTCGGGGATTTAAGGCAATTAGTAAACACGTACAGGCACGGCTTGCTTCCTGATTAATAGAGGTAAAACAAGCAATGTGCGGTAAGCCACCTTTTGTCCATAAACTATCGGTCTGGTACCGACCGTGTTAAAATCCTATGGCTATATGAACTACACAGATAGCTTTGAAAGAATCCTGAAATTTCTTTGAAATCACTTTACGTTTTTATTTCCGGTAGAAATCAATCGTGTTGCTTTCTCTCCCTTACAATAAACGTGAGTAAATTAAACAGGCCTGCATGCACATTAATCAAGTTACTTGTACGGGTCTCGAATATAAACCGGCTGGTACTTCAACGGTTTTATGCTGTCGGACTTAGTTAATGCATAGGTCTCCTAACGTTCAGCATGTGCTTTATGGCTCAGTCACAGATATACATTTGTGATGGAAGGGGCGCGCTCATTTATTGGGTATGTACGAACACAAAGCTATAAGCGTGTGCGCAGTAAATGCATTCATTCGGAACGAAGTCCGTTAGACTAGTATCTCGAGGTTCACTCAGAACAAATAGGGATAATCAGAACCTATCTAGGTGTTACATTCCTCGCAGCTGCGTACTGCGGGTACATGAAATCGGGAAAGACTCGGTTGAACCTTCAGCCGGTACCTACGCTGCTGCTACGACATCAGACTGCAAAGGCGTATATACAGTAGATGGGCTAACCCATGAAATGTCAACCGAAATTCCGAAATGCGTTTTCTTTTCGAGAAGATTAATTAAGTAGGATTGTAAAATCAATCATCATGCAACATAATCCTATAATAATTCAGTTACCTTATGATGTCGGCTTTCAGACAAACTTCTTCTCGGGTGCATACAGGAACTATATTTTGTAAAAAATGACTACTTATATAACATGCATTTTGCTCATTGATTTTCGGTGCCCCTAAATGTCCAATCATATCTCATGGAAAACATGAATAAAAATATTCATTCTTTTGCTCATCCGGTAGAAAATTACGTCTTCTTTCAATTTTATACTCGAAGAAAGAACTTGATACAGATTTAAAAAAAACTTTTCCAATTCCCAAATAATTTCGAACCCGACCTGCCGTTACACTTGCATTCAGGGTTTCCAAACCGCAAGTCGTCTTTGTTTCCGCGTACGAAAAACCGTAAATTTCTCTCCGATATTCAGAGGAGGCCATATGGGGTTCATAGAATTTATCAGTGAATTTGAGCCATATTGCTAACTTTGAAAGCAACACTAGTAAATGCAGAGGTATGACGTTTTAAGAACTGCCTTTTCATAATATTAAAGAATGTCTAATTAGAAATTTTCTTAAGACCAAACTGTACCCTTTCTTCAAGTGTAAACTTGAAAAAAGACGTAATTTCCTACCGAATGAATAAAAAATGATTATTTTATGTATGTTTTCCATGAAATATAATTGAATTTCTAAGGGCACCGAAAATCAATGAGAAAAATGCCTGCTACTTAAGCAGTCATTTTTTACAGAGTATAGTTCCAGCAAGTCGCCGAAAAGAAGTTCGTTCTGTAGCCGGCATCCTGACATTTCATGAGTTAGCCCACTTACTGTAGGTGTTTACTGTATGCGACATGATTTCAGAAAGGCGATTCCTTACACTTCCAGCCGAACGATTCCCGGCGTTACGAGCGTATTACAAGCTCTAAAGGCACTTTAGCCGTTTTCAGAGCCTTGAATAGGCCTTTTTGTCGACTTGTGTACAATTGTGCACCCCCTGAGTCAAGTTGTCTAGTTATTTTGCCTTTGTTTTACCCGTCTTGTAAGGCGATATTTTGCATATGACGTTTAAATCAGTGTCTCCGGCTGCGTAACTGGTTTAAGAGCATTAACATTTCGGGACAGTAGCAGATGGGCCGTCTTATTTCCTGCGGAAACTTTTCCGTTTGCAAACCTTTTACGACATTAGCAACAGGTGCCGTCGTCTCGAACGAGATTGACGGTCACCTGCGCAGTGGCGATGACCTTTATTTTTTACCAACAGTACATGCATTGCATCCAATTACTGGTCCTGTACTTTCGCTACAGGGGTTGGTGGACAGGGAGTTTTTGACGTCTGCCTGACGCATTCGGGTGTGTTATGTATCAGTAGGCTAGCATATTCGGTTTTCATGCGAATACGCCTCACGAATAGATATGGTGGGCTTGATGCCATTACAAAAGAATAAGTAGATTCGTCAGACTACACACATAAAAAGATTAATCGATATAATCGGTTGTTTCTAATGTGTTCATTAATAGTAGCGCCTTCTGTATGCCTGACTTACATCAAACGAAGTGAAAAATAATTTGCGAAAGTTTAAGTTGTTGATTATTTTCTGCTAAACTGCACCTTATCCTGTCAGTATCTGGTTTGTATGATCTGTGTATATGTGTACATGCAAATATGTCCTACCAATTCATATTTTATTTGTTCGGAAAAAACAACTCATCGAAAGGGATAAAAGCGCATCACATTATATTTTATTTAGAAAATCGTCCTATAACAGGAAGACGTCCAGTGAAACGGCAACGCTGATGGGCGGTTCATCATCACTCTGTGCCAGAAAACAGTCCTGACAGTGGCTTTAGTCCCGAGAGATTTGCATTGAGCTAAAACAGTAAACTGGACTGAGGTCTACATCAATACGAATTACGGACAATGTTGTCCGTGTCAAAATATAGAATATAGAATATTATTATCTTGCTTAGTCCGCAGTTTGTTAGTCTTACTGCCGAACTGCTACCTTAACTCGCAAAAATTACAGAGTTTGATTGAATGTGAGCGGAGTCTAAACTTTATTTTGGACACGTGCAATTTTTCTAGCCGAAAGTGTACGTTGAAATTTTTGATACACGTATATCAGCGGTTAAGGCATACCGAATATTTAATTACTTTCCACCCTGTAATGCCTATTCTGTCTCACTGTCTTTCCGCCAAGTATGCGATCCAAAAATTTAATGAGTAATCGGACTAACCATTAAATTGAATTGCATTATAATACATTTATTTACTATGCCGCGCCTGTGTTTGTCATGACTACTTGCTTAAAAGTGATATTGCAACTTATAAACTGCATTAGTCTGGAGTTTGAAGTCAAGAACAACTGTAGTTTTAAATAAACCATAAGTTGAAAGGAATCGTGAGTTAAGGACTCCTCGTGCTACAAACACAAGTTGTGCAGATCACCAAAAAATGTTTCCGGAAAATGTGTGACAATTTACATATAGACAGTTAGTTACAGAGGTTTTCCTGTACCAGTTCACCATCCGTGGGTCGGCCGGCGTGTACGAACTTTTTAACTCTCTGCCTTTTGAATTGTACATTAGATGCACAGAGCTCAAAGTACCGTGAGACAGATAAATGGTCGCGTGAAAAGCTGAAACGGGCCTAGAACCAGCTGGTGCCAGCCAACTATCCGGGCACCATCTAGAGCTAAATGAGTCGAAGAGTCACGTCGAGATCCGTATTCTCGTTAGACAGATATCTCTTTTCACCCTTGTATATGCGACCCAAACTCTCAACTGTATCTGAGGCCACATATTGAATCTCAGTCACATGAGAGTAGCGTATATCGATCTATGATGATTGTCGACCGGAAATCAACACTGTGTCTGGCCTTGCAGTTGAGGGTCTGCAGCCCACGCTAGGGGTCGCATGGTTGCTAGCAGTCAATAAATGACATGTCTTGTTGACAGTGACAGGGGTGTTACGACGGCCATTTCTGACTTCTGCTGTCATCAGCCGTTGTTTAATGTACATCTACGGGATACAAGCATTTGGATTGAAGATTGTCTCATATTTCGTCAGCTTACCTTGTGAAGCCGCAATTCCGAATAACGATTACCGTTGCAGAATTTTCTTCGTCGCCTCCGCAAAATTTGGCATTCCTGAATAAAAACATGTGGCAGTCTTTGATCTGTCGCAATCGTTAGTGTATAATACTTGACTTATCATCCTAGAACATTTACTAAAGTAAAGTTGACATATCTTGCTGTGAACCAACAAAAATGGCAGTCTGAGCCTTAAAATAATTTGTAATGAACAGAAAACGACGAGAATAGTCGTATTCATCATTTGCAGGGTACTACTAGGGCACTACTACTATCTCACCGAAAATGGTTAAACTAGAGGCGTCTAGACGATGTTGAAGACCGAATAATCCACTATACTTACGTTGGGGGTGTTCTTAAACTGTGTCATCAGTTATAACTGATAATCGCACTCTTTAGTATTAAGAAAAGTCGAATCTTTTAGAGGGACGCTCAGTTTTTTAACACACTGGGCTTACCATCGAAGGCTCAGCAATTGGAAATCCATGAACAATCAGCTTTTTTCAACTTTAATGATTTTGAATGCCAATGGACTAAGCAAATGGGGTATTTTCGGCCCAAAAGAATTTCGACGAATGAAACCGCCGATTTAGACGTCATTTGCAGTCAGGAACGAGCATTGTGTGCCTGTATTTGTCGTTCTTCCTTTCGCATTATAACTTATCGGCATTTTTTCATCTGTAATTATCCTAAGCTTGAAATCCATGCCAAAACGGAGGAAACATGTTGCATATTACAACTAAATTAGTGGACGCTCCTTCCGTTTTTATATAGGGATCTTTGTTTCCATCTGATATGATATTTATTTGGCTCCATATTAGAATGCAAACCTTCTGTTCATTTACTTTGCAATCTGTTACGTGACATTCGTCCAAAATGTCCCTAGTATTGATAAACTACTTTTGCAGACTTTTTCATTTCTTATGTAACAGTAAATGTTCTTATAAGCGGTAGTTTGTTCCACATATCCTTTGTCTACTCTCACATAACTCTCTTAAAAGCGACACCAGAAAAGTTTTGTCTGTTTCTGGTGCACAGTTTATGTGTTAGCTTATGAAATGTGTCTTCAATCAGAGATTATTAAAGTTATGTCGTTAAACTAACTGTCGCACGGCATAAAAAGATATTTCAATTATGCCAGGATATCGGCTTTTGAACCAACTTCCTTCCGGCCGCTTGCAGAAAATATTCCCTGCTCTAAATGATTACTTGTATGATAAGAAGCATTTCCATTGATTTTCGGTGGCCCTATAGACTCAAATATATTTTGTAGAAAACATACAAGAATCATTTCTTCTGCTAAGTTGATAGGACGTTATCTTTTTTTCAAATTTTGTACGTGAGGGAAGATTGTTACTCTTATGACGTTTCTAATTATACAACTGTTTAAGAGCGTGAGATGTATACCCATAAAGCATCGCATCCGTCCATTTATTAATGTGGCTTGTAAAGTATAGACCATAGTTCACATACGCTACAAAAATTTTAAGAGCCACATATGATTTTACTTTAACAGCGTATACAAATATACACATTTTCTAACAAGAAATATAAACGCCTTGTAGCTTGTAAACTCTGAATACAAGTGCAATGGCGGACCACGTGCAAAGTTATTCATGAATTGAGAGAATTTTTGAAGCCCAAAGACACGCCTTCTTAAAGTATCAAACTTGAGAGTGACGTAAATTTCCACCAACGAACCACAAGAAAAGATTTTCGCATGTTTTCTACAGAATCTATTTGAGTGTGTAGGGCCACTGAAAATCAACGAAAATAATTCTTGTCATACAAGTAACTATTTAGAATAGGGAGTAGTTTTAAAGTGGGGCAGGGAGTAGTAGTAGCCGGAAAGAAGTTGGTTCAAAAGCCAATATCCTGACGTGACTGAAATATCTCGTTATTCTGCACGACAATTTTACGACCCTACTTTAATAATCTTCTCTAGTCGAGGACACATTTTGGAATTTTTGGCGAAATCTCATAAGAACGCATAGTTAATGTACCTATTTTCAATGTCCGAATATTCTTGTTATGCGTAAGTTGTCTGCCGTTCGACCCATCTCACCCGCACGCTTAAGATCCGTTTTAGGCTACTCCAGAAAGACAAGATCGTCAACATTTGGCATCTTGGACTTTTAACTGAGGCGTTTCGCAACAGAACTCGCAGTAGGCGAAAAACCTGGGCGTCCACGGCGTCGAAAAAGAGGACAATGTAGCGATGAATTGTGAAATGTAGTTGTGAAATTTGAAACGCAAAGTTTCCTCTTCATTGGGGTATCCTGCATACGTTTTCTCTAAGAAACTAACGGAGACGAATCTCCAAAAAACCTACTCAACTGGGCCGGAACTTCTTGGCTTTTTGCAGCTCACTGAGAGCTTGTCGAATACGATGCCAAAAGAAGAAGGAATACAGTAGTTTAATTCACCCACTCCTTAATAGTATATCGCATGAACGCACGCCTGAAAACGTTTTCTTTGTCGCCAGCATGAAACAAATATAGTATTTGTTTTTCGCAGACTTTTGTGTGCTACAAAGGAGTTTTTTACGATGTAATAAAAAGTCAGTGTAATGACTGGACGAGAGTGATCAGTCTGTACCATGGAAAAACAAAATTTTGTTAGGAGTGCTTGACTAGATACCTTAAAGTCCCTATTTTCGCAATATAAGTGATCAAAAGGTAGGGGTTTCTCAGTTTTAAGAAATCAAATGCAACATAGGATTTTTAGGTAGTTGTGTAAACGAACCTGCATGCCTTCCTGAAAAAATCTGAGTTCCGACACGTCTTTTATAATTGTTGACTGGAATTCTGGTTGCCTCTTCTCCGCGATTTCGCGAGTCACATCAAATATCGTTCTAAATTTTTATATTCAAAAAGATCTTTAACAAAATGGTTGTGGATGTGTTGTGAGGGCCATCACGAACTAATTACTAATTTGGAGCAGGAAAAGGCAGTCTTAGGATGCATAAATGCATAAAATGCAGTCTTACTTTCCAAATAGAATGTAGGACTGCTGCACATGGAAATGGGCAAAAGAAATTTCAGCAAGCTTAAATGTATGCTATTGGTAAAAGTCACACTTGTGTATGCCTTGGCGAAGGATGGTTTAGAAACTGCATAACGGGCTGCTAAAATTTAACTTATTCAGCTGATAGCTGGTCATTTGTTGTCATGCAGGTGCGTCATGAAAACCATATCTTTTTCCAAGGTCAGCACATATATCAAGTTGGATATAACTGATTGTACAAGATGCGTTTCTAGTATGAAAATATTACTACATGCGGCCGAATTTCGGGCACGTGTACTACGTCGGATGTGTTATAATACGCAAAATAAATTTGAGACAAACAAATATCGCCAATAACTCGTCAAAGCTGGAAAGAATAGTACCAGCCTGTTGCACACCTTGAGAGATATTCAAGATGCTTTATGATAGAAAACGACAATGCTAAGTTGGGGATAGTTATTAAACACATTTTATGCACATTTTGAAGTTATTAGCAGCACTCAACCGGACATGATCCCAAAGATCAGTCAAGCGTCAAAAGCGAAATTTTCGCACAAGGTATACGAGCCCGTCCTCTAGCCCTGGCGCTTGGAAACATGTAATAATTGATCAATATCAGTCAAGTTACAACTAAAAAAGAAAGGTAGATTTCGTCTCGGCGAAGGCGATGGTTATAAAAGAAACATTTATGGAAGGACAATAAAAAGCCCGACAGCTGCTGAATAGGAAAGCGGTTCAAAGCGGAAGGTCAGCATTTCAAGAAAGTATGTTCTGCTTTATATTAGCACAATTTTCCAATATTCAAAGGACATTTGGTCTATAAGGAGAAACTCAGCGCGTCCAATAAGACTCTCGAAACAGACCTGGTATTTTCCCCTTTTTATTTGGTTTAACATATCTAGTCCCTTTTCTTTTCCAACTTTTTTTATGACGTCACCACGGGGACATATCCCCAATTTTCGAGAAAAACTTTGATTCAAAAATTTCAGTGCAGTACACGTTAGTCTCATAAATCTATTGAGCTTTGTCTACATTGCAAATTAGGACACAATCAAAAGCATACCATACGTGTGTACAATAACATGTGCAGGCATCTGGGGTGGCATCGTTAGCGTCAAAATAAGACCATATGCAATATGCATTAAGACATGCTAAAAATGATGATAGGATCGGCAATTAAATCACACTTATATGGCACGCCCAATTCGGCATAAATGTAGTTGGGTCACTGGTAGCTAAATAAAAGCTTTTGAAACCTATTGACGCTGGCAGCCCCAATGTTAAATATTCTTTTAAAGTGTGGACTGTTCTCTTGTTTGAATATTCTTTCCTCCCCACTGTGTAACATTACGGTTTGCGTGCTAACCCGATCAAGTTGGCAGAGGGACGATTTCCATCGTTCACAGTTATTAATATATGGCTGCTCATTCAGCGATTTGACAGATATTTAAGTTTTAGCTCAGCAAATAGCACAAAGGACGTGCGATAGTGAATAGTTATTTATTGAATTTCACCCTGGAAATGCGGCTTGTGCCACTTTCTTACCGACGCTCCCTCCGATCCCAGAGCCACGGTATAACATGCCTGTTGTGCTATTTTTGCTCGCTATGTGAAGGCCTGACCTCGGCCGGACGGGGCAGACGCTGACATGTCCTCCCTCAAATTATGGTCACCTGAAAGATCATTGCCATTGCTATCGATTTCGCCACTTTGATTCTTTGCCAGTTTTACTTTTTATGGCGGACTCAAAGGCGAAATCTTACTTGAAGTGCGTCTTTTCCTGGGAAGCCACGGAATCGAGACGGAATTTCCTTTGCACCCAGGGGACTCTCATCAAAGGCTCCGACGTAAAGACAACAGTTGGTTTTTCAATGATGTTGGCCATCCTCTCATCCTTGAAAAGAGACCCAGATACTGGCAGCCGAGAAAAGTCGATAGTATCTCTCTGAGAAGAAGACAAAAGGCAAACTTTCAAGAGCTATAACAAGGATTCTATTCAGGAACCATGATGGCACTTAAGTCGACTAATGTAAATAATCTTAAGCAGGGTGCTGTCTTTGGGATGATTTCAAAAGCCACGAGTTAAAAGAGCACTACAAGAGTAAAAGCATGATCTCCCGTGTTTTTAAATATATATGCGGAATAACACTACAGACGAAAAACAATGGAGGCTGGAATGGTCAATTAGGTTTGGTAGCCAATATCAGCCGGCCACGTCCTACTCGAAGGTATGTAACCCCCGATGCCCCGCTATGCGACCGCTGACGGAGCTTGAGAGAGAACCCAGAACACAACAGAACGAGTGAGTTCCGTAACGCGATCGGTGCTAGTCCCTCTACAAAATGTTTATGCATATAGAAGGCTTAAGACATGTTGAAACGTGTTTGAACGCAACTTTGAGCCGTGCGTAGATACTTCCTGAAAAAGAAGCGCCGTCATCGGACAACAACGGGCTGCTTTATGCTAGAGGTTGGACATCGCAATTACGAGCAATTTTGCGCAGCCCATTAACTTAATTCTCGCTTCTACAGGTAAAACAAGCAAGTTTCGGTTGGCTCGAAACTCATACGAGTCGTCCTTTTAGCATTCTTGCATGTGTCGATGAACAATAACGACAATGTTTGCATGCGTTTTTCTCGACTTTCCAACATTTCCTTCGCCAGCAAGGGGGTGTAGGACGTAAGGGTATATTCTCACACTACTGACGTCCTGAATTCTCGAATGATAACAAATGACAAAAATTAATGACTGCTTAAGTCTACTTTCATGACCTACGGAAATCAAATTCCACAGGAATTGAGTAATCTTGATACAGAAGTAAGATGGAAGTTTTACTTTGATTAGACCCATGACAGTTTTTCAATTCACTTCATCCCGGCGGTAAAATACGTAAAGCGTCTTGCCGCTTCAGGTGGTTCAAATACTGCATGCGCTTAGATATACCTTCCGAAGACAACGCCCGTAGAAAGTGCATACTGCTACTAATTTGTTTTTTACACATCGACTGATAACTAACAGCGTAATTACAGGAACTCCGTAATTAATTTCGATTACTTGGCTCTAATAAGCACCGTAATTCCGATATATGCGGACCACTTTAACTTATTACATTTAATTAGTTGAAGGCACAATGCACGTAGTAGCTGTATTAACTGCGGTTTTTCAAATTTAAGCTTTCGATAAACGAAGTATTTCTTCAGTATCTAACCTGATTGAAGGCTCCCACATACAAACCGGTTGACCCAGCAAATATCTTCGCCAAACCATCTTGTCCGCCTGTTACCAGAAACAGATCTTGCTCCCCGTTTGTCTCATTGAGTCGCAAAAAACAAGTCAAATCATTTATTGTTCCGGCGTGTGCCCTCCATCGTAGACCTCTTACTGGAGAAGTCCTGTCCTTGTAACCCTCAGTGACATTTGGCTCAGTAAGGTAGTAGTGCAGATCGATTTTAAATATATGCCCTCCTGAAAGATATTACGTTTAGGGAGATTAGAATTGGCACAAAACAAGTGCTTCCGAAAGTAGAATATAAGCTCAAACCACAAGATCCCAAAGCAGAAAATTGCAATTTTGTATTGCTTAGTCAGTCTGAATTTGCATCTATAACAAGTGTAGTGGCGACCACACGTGTGGAAACTTGCCGTCGCAGGCAAGAAAAGCAACTCTCTCGTTGACCAAATCTCCTTGAGGAGGAATTGTCAACGCTGTGACTTTGAAGGCCATTGGCGGTAGTTCTGATCTGTTGCTTCCCATTGGAGTGCTGAAGTCACAGAGGTTGACAGAAAAGATTGCCGAGCCATTCAACAAATTCATTGTGTTTGATTCAAAAAGGAGCTGATGCAGCTGAACTTGGCCATCAGAATAGCACAGAAGGAAGGTTTGTTCGCAACCCCATGTAACCTAAATAATTAAAGGGAGGGTTATTTTATCGGAAGTGTGTATCTCTGGTTTTGTATACTTCAGTGTAAACGTTTTGACACCGCCCCACCGTCAACAGAATCACACACCTAGTCAGATATGTAAGTAAAATGACATAGCCAGTGTATAGCTCTTTTTCGTTCTACTACGCGTTCTAAAGGATAACCAAGCAGAGAAAGCTGACGCTCGTTTCGTTTTCTTGATGCTCAGAAATTTCAGATAGCCTGATAGACATCAGTATGGTCAGGTTGCAGAGGCAAACTGAACGTCTATATCTTCCTGCTGCAAAATTATTCACTACCAGCGTTTTCATCCTGATTCTGTTTTATCTGCTCCCTAGGTAGCTATTTGAATCGTCTCATCTATCCACATTTGGGGCTTATATCTTCCTTAATGATAAAATAGACTTCGTTTTAACAGGCATTTCAGCTGACGTCAGAATTTAATGCCTCTGCTAACGGTTGAATATAATATTCTGTTGGAAATGGGTCATCTGGTCATATATAACTGAAGCGAAATTTCTCGAGATAACTAGTCTGATAAAAACAAGACTGGTATATCAGTACTATGGTTTATGTCTAGTGATTATCGGTTTTTCCAAAAACATAATCTAGTCAATACGACTGCCTTCCATTAGTTCTCAAGCCATATTTGCGACTTGTAGAACGCTAACAAGTTTTCTTATGTTTTAAGTCTCAGCAAATAAAACTTAAGGAAAACGGATGTTGCGGCAACTGGCCATAGTATCACACCAAGGTATATATATTAGGCCTTGAAGAGTTAATGACAAAGTCTTTAATAAGTTTGAGTCACTAATGCAGAAGTCGTAGAGGCATGGTATAAATATTTTGAGAACAGGGTGTCGGCATAATGATTTCTAAAATTTCCTTGGGGATGACATGTAAAAGGATGCTGTTTAAGCAATTGATGAAGTGGGAAATGTTGTAACAGCCTAACTAGAGCTCATAGATTTACAAAAAATGGCTTTTCTAAACAATACAGGAACACTTCAACCACCATGCGTTTTGAATTTCGTTTCCAATTTTCGACGTCCGAGGAAATTATTCTTCCAGATTTCGAATTACTGGATGCTCTTAGAGCCTGCTGGAATTAAGAATTGGATCCGACTTATCAATATCTTCCTGTCACCTTATCTCCTTTAAGACATTGTCAGAACTCCAATTTCGGCTTTTACTGTTCTCCCTACTTGCAAACCCAGAAAGACGGATTATCTGACGAACAACACATCCAGAACTTCTATGAAGGCTGCGTTGCTATTCTAAAAGTTGACATTGCATCCCTGTCTTCAAGTATATGTCTAAATTTCGGCTTTTGGAAATTCCTCGACAAGACTAGTATATTCAGTTCATGAAGTTACTTTCTACTGAAAGAACGTCATAAAAGCCTTCTTCGTCATAATTAAAGCAACATTCTTTACGGGGAAGTTTATTCTTGTGGATATAGAAAAGTCGTCCAGAATATTTGAGTCTGCGCCCGTATAACAAAATAAAGCGAACTGCGAATTCGAACGGGGACCTCAAAACGAGAACCAGTTCTACTAACCCCTGCGCCACAGAAGCGCGCCTGGGGGACCGTTCAACGGCTCTGTAAATTCGTCACAACAGAATTACGTGGGATAATTGTGTAATGGCTGTCAAACGATAGACTACAAAATGCAGCGACTATAGGAAGAAGTTGAAAAACTGAAGTAGCTTATTCATAGAACTCTTTCTTCAGAGGGCCGCCCGGTGGTAGCTACGCATAGGTTAGGTCGGATTAGAGCGAAAGCTAACCCGTGTAATGAATCTTCAGGAAGGAAGCATTTGACGTATAAGTAGCGTCTTTGGGGGTAGAAAAAAAAGACGGAACTAAACACCTGGGAGAAACGTAGCCAGGATCCCAGAGGGAGCATTTTAGGCTTGCCCGAAAAGTAATCGCACGTACAAACTAAAATGGATGAAAATGTGCCATCGAAGGTAGTGGGAGTAATAACACAGATGACGTTTGACCTTAACGATTCCCGGACAACTTGCACATTTCCGGAGTCTAAATTAGAGGGAACGTCAACTAACGCAAGGACATATGGCCGTGGTCCCCGGATGGGCTTATCTCCATTACGAATTCCCGCATCAGCAAATTTGAGGCCCAAGCTGAGGAAACCTCCAACTTGGGGGTCAGTTTTTCACAAAGCCCTCTGAGGGAGGCACTGTCGATCGACCACAGTGCTTTACCATTTACGAGGCCTCAAAAAGAACCGCTGACGAACTGCACGGAGAGAAATATACTAATGGTGCAGCCGCCTACTTTTTGCCAGTCCACTTCGAGGGGGCCAACGTACCAGCCAACGACTTCCAAACTGCAGAAATCACAGGAATACCCGGGAAGGGCCATTGCATCATAATTCAGGACCTTTTTAGAGTTCCCCGTTAGTACCCTCAGGAAACAAGTCGTTGCTGACTTAGAGTAAATCCAGAAACATCTCACTGAAATGCTGCAACCACCGGAAGTTATCACCGTCCTAAAGGCGTTTTGTCTTGGAAGCCGTGCAAATGCCTCTCTACAGACGCCACCGCGATCCCTACAAAGCGTCCTAGGCTGCAATGAGCAGGCGAAACTAATACTTAGCAGGCGTTTTCGACTGAAGCATTCCCGAAAGGGAGTGTTTTTTCAGCCAGAATACTCACCTGCCAAAATAATGGCACGCCGTAAACTCGTCCTAGAATTGAGAACACGGCGAAGAAAAGGAGGACAGAACTTAGTAATCTACAGAGATCAGATAGTAAAACGACACTCTGCTTCCCTGCGCGTGAATGTAGACTGGCCCAGCATCTGCCACACTCCGCCTTTCCTACCTTCACCCGGTGTCAAGACAGAGTCATGAAGACCGGAGGCGGGGAGGGCGTAGGTGGATGGCACGGTTGAGTCCGCACCTTGGCGTTCCACTCCACATCCCCTGGTCCACACAACAAATGACCAGGTTTTTAACCAACAGCAACAATGGGGTTCGACAGAGGTTCCAGTGCGAGCGATGACTGTCGGCAACCGGCTCTGCCACCACATCCCGAAATGTTGGAATTTGTTATGATGTGCAAAGCGGATAACGTCTGCCAAGATCCGATGTGGTTCCCATGATGTTCCAGCGCGTCTAACACATGGCCCGTTTGGAAGCCCGACCTCAACCCAGGCGCTATCTCAATAACCGCAAACATAACTGCCCGAAAAGGTTGATGATGGGAAACTTATGCTTCCTGGATTTCAACTGTTCCTCAGAGACAGAGAAAACAGAAGGGGTGGAGGTATAGCAAAATTTGTTAAGAATGGATCGCATGTTTCAGAAACAACTGCTAAGCTGACTTGTAGCACGGAAGTTATGGCTGACCTTAAGAGCACCGGACTCTCAAAGCCTCGACATCTTGGCAGTGTATCATCCCCCGAGTAATGACCCTGAATCTGATGTCCAACGGCTGGGTGAGCTCAACTTACTTTCTACGCAGCCAAGTACTCTCATCGTCGATGGCTTTAATGCACCTCACATCGTCTGCAGCTTGGCCTCCGCCGAATTCTCTGAAAATTCGACCAGTAGTTTCTGTGTACCACTGGCAATCTGCTTGTCACCCAGCACGTAATGCTTCCGACGAGAGTTCGTGACGGTCAACAAATGAACAGCCTTGACTTTGGGTTCACTAAGTTGTTTGGTAACATCAACGTTGTGAATTGCTTCCCCCATTAGGTCAGAGTGACCATGTAGCTCTCATGTTGGAATACACCTTATTCTCCCTGCCCGAACAACCGCTTAATCCCCGACCCAACATTTGGCTCAACGATTTCGAATAGATAAAAAAGGATCTTCGTCCTATAGGCTAGGCATCCACAGTCTCCGGCGATATCCAAGATCTTAGGTGTCACTTCATCTCCAATCACTGTCCAATCATGCGGAGACTAGCGAATAGACCCCTCTGCTTGAATCCATCCTTACAGAAGGAAGTTAACAAGGGGAGGAAACTATGGAAAAGATCCCTCATTGATCGGATGCCTCAGTCCTTAAACACTTACAAGTTACAGAGAAACCAGGTCAAAATTTCCATTGCCAAAGATCGGCAAGTCTTCGAAAATGATCCTTTGAACTATGCCATGGTAAATCTTAAAGCCTATTTTAGGTATATAAAGCCTAGTGCGTGGAACAAAGATTTTATCTTGATGTCGTTAACGGCCGAGGGTGATGAAATCTCAGATGAAGGTTGAAGGCTGAAAATCTCTCTCATTACTTCCAGTTCCTCGTGACAAGGAAAACAGATTTTTCCCACCGCAATTGAAGGGGAAGAAACGTCCTCTATTGAAACAGTCCTCTTCACCGAGGCAATCGCTCGAAAAAAGTTGCTAAACCAGAGGGAATCGACCTCCACAGGCCCAGGTGCAATCACGGCCACGTTACTAATAGAGATAGCCGCCGATATGCCCAAACCGTTAGCCCTGCTCTTCTAGACGCCATTTTCTACCGGGTGCCTACACTCCGAGTGGAAGTCCGCTACCACCATTTCGCTTTTTAAGGGTCGAAGTCAAACGTCTGTAAATAGCTACAGGCCAGTGAGTCTTAACTCCATCTGTCGCAAAATCATGGAGAAAATAATTAGAAAGCGTTGATGCAGTCCCTCGCGCAGCATCACCTCCTATCCGATGCTCAACATGGCCTTCGATATTGTAGGTTCTGTCTTACGAATCTACTCTTTTCATTTGAACGCCGCACCAGAGCACGTGACGAAGGCAATACGGTGCACGCTATCTACACTGACTACAAAAGCCTTTGATAGCGTTCCTCATTAACGTCTCTTGCACAAACTGCGCAACGCAGGAATTCGTGGAAGCCTCCTTGTATGAACCCAGAGCCTTTTAACTGGGCGGTTCCAAAGAGTTCAGGTCGGACGCCGGCAGTCCTCAGAGGGTACCGTGGTGAGCGGCGTCCCGCGGGACTCAATCTTAGGACCCACATTGTTTTATGTTTTCAATAATGACTGTGTCGGGAACTTAGGCTATGATGTCATCCTGTAAGCTGACGAGATCAAATTGTGAAAAAGTATTCGCAATGCGACAGACGAAGACCACCTGCAAACCAACTTGAACAGGCTCGGGGATTGATCGAATCGCTGGCTTCTGCCCTTCGATGTGTGTAAGTGTGCTTTCTTCAACCCGGCAGCTACAATGCCTCCAGCCCCAGGACGTACTTTCTTCACAGTACACCACTGCAACAAGTTGACAGTCAGAAGGACTTGAATGTGTGAATAACTTCTTCGCTCAAACCAAGGCTGAATTGCGCGAAGACGGCTAAGTCAGCCATGTCCAAATCGCAGCTCATTAGGTGGGTCCGTATTGGGTTTGACAAACACAGCTTTTCCAAAATGTTTGGCACCCTCGTGCGGCCGTATCTAGAATTAGCCATGAACTGTCAAGGACCGTGCCGTTTTATAGAAGGTGCACAGGCGGGCAGCAAAAGGGAAACCAGACTGTCAACCCTCAACCTGTTCCCCTTTCCCGACGCGGTGATCTTATAATAACTTTCCGCTTTATTGATGGCCTGGATTGTTGCTCAGTAACAGAGTGGCTGCAGCGTGGAACGCCCTGCCTAATGCTGATGTACTCTCCTCCTGTGTGGATTCATTTAAGTGTGGACTCGAAGTGCATCAAACTTCCTAACTACCGCCCACACATGCACTCACATAACCTGTCATCCGACTTACAATGACTGAGTTTACCCTTTTTGACTAGTAGACAGCTGCCCGTTTCGCGCATGCAATTATGTAAGCGATATCTGTCAACTTTCTACGTATCGATGCTTTTTCTCAGGCAATTTCGAACCAATAGTGAGTTCTAAGGCGTTCGCTTATATTTCCTTTAATAAAATTGAACTGAACTTCTCAAGACGCGGAGTAGATTTGGAGATAATAAGTCTGGTTAGCCACCTAGGTGGATATATTCTGTTCGGAGTTAAACATCGACAAGTGGGTCATCAGGAAGGCATAGTATAATCTTATTTATTTTCGGAAGAAGTTGCTAAACGAATCAGACAAATATAGTTAGAAATAATAAGAGCTTACTCACCTCTGCATTCCTGAAAAGGACAAAATATACTCAGGCACTAAATCAGCGTAAACAAAGATTTTACAGTCACCACGAATAGCGGAACATTTATCTAGTTCAGAGATAAGTTTTTACATACCTTTGACTCTTAACTGTCCGTTTGGAAACAAACGCAGCCTTTGTCAAAATATGTGTGCTTTTTCGGAAAGAAATTCTGAAAATGGCATGTCTTCGATTAAATAAAACGTATAATTTTTAAAATGCAAACACAAAAGGCTAGACAATTTCTAGAGATCGCACGAAAAAGTAGCCTTCAGGGACTAGAAGACAGTTTTTAAATGTCCAAATTACACTAAGAAGACCGTTGGTTTTCTATCAGACTTCAGAGCACTGAATAACTTCCACTCTAAATTCACTGTTTTTTGATTCCTAGAAGATTCAACCCAAAAGACTTCCTAATAATAGAGGTTTGGTTTGAGTGATAGATTTAAATTTCCTAAAGTCAGCGGGCTTTCGTTTTTATTTCCTAACCAAAGTAGGCAAAATGTTTGCGTTTTTTGTTCTCCCAGAGTCACGGCAAAAGTTTCGCCGTTGATAAACGACCTATCCGTAATCTTGAGGCAAAAATAAATATACAGTAAATTAATATTTTTGTACCGGGTTTCTTTGTGAAGATCATGAATTGGGAGAAATTTGGCGGTCCCCTCGACACTGCAGATGAGGAATCCGTCAGTCTGAGAAGATTTTGCACTCGTTTGCTGCTGTATTTTTTCTTCGTCTCCCGAGAAGGTGAAACATGCAAATTGCGAATGCTCATGTTTCTAAAGGGAGAAATAGGAGTCTGGAAAGTAACGCCTGTAGCTACATAGGTCAACTTAAGGAATGTAAGCATGTGATTATTGATTTTCTGACAACTACTGCGATATTGTAAAAGGTTTCAGGTCTGATGGAAGAAGCATTAATGAAGATTTGGCAGAAGGTTGCGCGTAGTCAAAGACCTTCTCCGGAATTCTCAAAAACGTAAGTGAACATTAGGTCCTCCGATTTACAGGGAAAGAGCAGTGTTCAGCACTAGTGTCTCCGTCGGTATTTTCATGTGGTAGAGATTTATATGATGTTTTGTCCCCTACAATACTCACCCATGTAAAACACGATGCAGGCGTGCTTATATTTGATTGCATTGGATTCATAAATACATAGGTTAGGTTTTTTATAAACCACAGTAATTTGCCGCAGTCTGTTATGGTTTCGCCCTGTTAAGGGCAAGGAAGTTAGCGTAATAAGTTCTCAAAGAATTACTTATTGTTTTGGCTCATAAGTGTATTAAAAAGCCAAGTAAAATGAACTCCAAACGACGACGGGGAAATTCTTACTCAATTGTAGTTATTTAAGACGTATGCTGACAAATATTAGGGGAATCTTTAATTCGAACGATCTCCCCCAACGAGAAAAAACGCCAACCCCATACATAGTCTGCCTTACGGGCGAGATTACTTCAATTTACGCGTTTCTTGGCGGTCACTAAACCGGACGATTGTAGTCTTTAAGGAATCATTCAAGGAAACTTAAAGAGGTTCTGTTTGAATTTGATAACTTCACACTTCCCTTAAACCATAAAAGACAGTTCGATAGATATACTCTGCAGACAAGCTGCAAAGGCTTCTTCCACCTAAACTTGACAAACCGATAGATATGTTCAGAGGCACGGGGCAAATCGACCAATTACAAACGACGGTTTAAAAACTGTCAGCGTGGAAAAGATTTGTCGCAAGCCTTCACTTTTAGCATCAGTCTCGTTATGTAGGTCAAGCAATCGGTAGGTTGTCTAGAGGGACACATGGACAGTTTTCTGTTTGACGGAGTCGGATTAAATCTGGTCCACCCTCCCTGCAAAGAAGGCGGTGACTAAAGATCATTCGAAGATCTTCCCGCCACAATCCTACGAAATTGCGAAAATTGCTTCACTTAGTTAGCTTATTTTATACGTATTATATCTCATCGGGATTTGTTCTGCGACACTTTGAAACACCACAGAATCAGTAGAATATAGTGATTCAAAAAATGCGAAAATAACCAGATAAAATTGGCCAATTTACCTCTGTACTGAGATTGATTAAATGCACTAGGAGCAGTCGATGTATTCCGTGCTTGCTTAAGACCTATGAAATTGAGAATGGACCGTCATTTCAAAATAATCTTCGAAACGGATGTTACATTGTTGGCAATCATTATTAAATTTGGAGTCCCCACAGTGCATTTTGTTTACCTCAGTGAGTTGTCTCATGGAACTATGTGCATCCTGTTTAATACTTAATAACGGTCTTAAATTAACATATAAAATTCTTGCCGAGATTGCTGCGTTTGGATCTAAGGCGAGGCCTACTGCAACATCTCTTTGTGTGATGTTAAAGTGAACTTGCGCAGTCTGAACCACTCGAGGAAGTATGGTAATTGTTTCAATGTATGAAAAATAACAAAACTGGTCTAATTGGGGTCTCTCTCTCCCCAATGTTATTTTATGGTTTGGCAAGAAAACTTGAACTTTCAAAAGGAGAACAGTAAGAGTCAAAAAACGATCGCGCTCTGGCCGGCAAAAATGCGTCTCAAATGGACAAAGGGAACAAGCTAAAACTTTCTTGCATTGGCGCTCAAGATATTGTTACGAGTGACATAACACAGTCTATCTCGATACAAACTTTCAATAAACGGCTCGGAGCACATAATAAGACGAGACTTGTGTACATCATTGAAAGCACGCTAATGCATTCGCTATACCGATTACTCAGTCATTCGACGTTGCTTTAGCATACCGATCGGCTGTTAATTGCAACAATGAAACCGCTAAATTTTCAGGGTGAAGGTTTTATGTTCCTGCGAAATCATGACAAGGCACAGGAATGGAAACTCCCTCTGCTTCTGTGAGTCTAATCTTGTTCCCAAGAAGAACTGGTTAAGTATTAAGTTTAGGGTTTGGAATACGGCAGGGTTAAGCCTAATGTTAGGATTATGGTTATGATTAACGTTAGGACTGGAGCCAAGTTGGGGGTAGGTTCGGTATTGGGACTACGGCTGAAATTTGGAAATATTTTCACGTCCTGATACTCCACAAGGCCAAATGTATTACTATGGGCGTTCCTGTTCCCATATCTTGTCGAATTTATTAACTATAATTTCTGTCGACTTTCCTCTAGTAGCACATGGTGATGTTTGCAAATTTTGCCAAATGGAGTCGAAGCCCATACTTTGTAATTCTCTAGAGAAAGAGGAGAATTCTGCCGAATTCATTGAACATTTCATGCCGTGGTGTTTCAATAAATTCCCGTTGACACTGATTACGTATTAAGATTTTGTTAGCGCTGAAAGAATAAAAAACATCTTCCAAATATGTTTTATTGCTGACATCTTTCGCTTCATTCACCCATAGATTACGTCTATAGAAACATCGTTACTGAAGATGACCTCAAAATTGAAATCTCCAATACAAAACAGTAGCCTATTTGTTTGTTTTAAATCTATGTCCATAACAACCATGACTGGGGGCTTCCGGTCTGTCTATCACTTGCATATGCGAAAAAGCGCAAAGTAAAAAGAATCTGGGATTATAATGATCGGCATTGTTGTCAGACAGGCATGTTGTAGGACTTTTTCCTTTCGCTTACCCGCCAAACTTTTATTTTGTCGTTTGACTCGATGACTAACAGAAATTTGCTTGACATATGTTTGTAAAACTGCATCCCTAAGACGGATGGCGAAGCGCACAGCCAATTGGCTGTTCCATCAGCTTCTACTGTCGCCGTCTCCAATTCCGTTCCAGGATTCGGCGTGGGCTCTAACCTGCCAGTTCGAGTCCGCTTGAGACACTTGCAGCCGCCGAGAATGGAATACTCGGCCAGATTTCCGTAAGCTAAATTTCTTCCTGTTCCTATGTCCCACATGTAAATATTTCCTATAAAATCACAAAATAACGCAGAAAAAACTGTTTTTTTCAGTGTATATTACATAGCTTTTATGTGAGAACAAGTAAGTAAAGTAATTGTAGTGGTGATATTTTACGATATGATTTATAGTCTTTTGAAGTCCAAATCAGATTAGTACAGACATGATATGGAAATGATGCTTATTTGCCCGAAAATGGAATTCACTGGTGTTCATAAATGCAAGATGAAATGATAAAATTTCCGTTTTTTGTCAGATCTGCGAGTTCGAAGTAATATTAAGCGGTTCCTCGAACGACGGGAAATCTGCAGTTAGAAGGCGACAGTAAAAAGACGAGAGAGACTTGCGTGAGCATTTCTTGCGTATTTGCTGTAGTCAGGCGGTCCTCTTTCCAATCCCACCGAGGCACCCAATGGGTGAACTCTTATCTGCTGGCTCACAACAATTTCTAACTCACTCATCTGGTGCATCGCCTGAATTCGGATCCAGATCGCGTAACCTTCCAACTCCAGCTGCCTACTTGGTGTTGTGGCATGGCTGGCTGACAGTCACGCATAAACCGGACATGCTCATAATCGCCTCCGCGGTATTTGTGAGTAACACTTCGGTTATTATTCCCTATTCTTTGACCACATATTTTCCTAATACAGTGCTTAATTGCCGCAATGAGAAAAAATGCTTGAATATCTAGCATATCTCACATTCCCTTAACCTGCCGGATAATTGGCCGCTATAAATACATACTATGTCTGAAAAGACTTCCGACAAACGCAGAGGAGACTGAGATGGTTATTTTTGACTTATTAATCGTAATTAACTAGTATTATCTTAACCCAGGTTTTACCACGCCTGAAACTCTAACTCACGTTCTTTGGCCATAGAACTTTTTAGGCCCAGCAATCTTGGCAGTAGATCGACGAGTCCGTCGTCATGATGTTAGAAGGGCGTTTATCGGTCGGCATATATTCCCGACCGCTATGAGACTGCCTGTATTAAAAACTAAGGTAGAATAGAACGAACGAATTCCATAACCAGATCGGTGGACATACTTCAAAAATAACCATACTGTGTCTGTTCTTGGAGGCGTTTTACTTGGACTTTTAAAATTAGCTTCCCCTTCGCTTAAAATATTATAGACGGAAATGTAACTAAAAGGGTAGAATGTGGTTTGGTAGGCCCACCTGTGGATACAATACTGTTGGGGTTATAGTAAAGGTTAAGGGACTAGCGCAACTATTTATCAACCATTAAAAGTACAACCACGCATTACTAATAGCTTTTCTTTAGCAAACAACTACTTGACCTCTTCGCCTGTGCTTTCCCTGGTCCCACCTGCAAAAACCCCTATTACCGCCGGTTCCAAATTAGAGGTGACTGGGGTTTGTTTACTTAAGATGTGGCTACCGAGCCACATCAGACCAATAAAATAAACGGAGGTGTAGGTTATACCTAAGACGACTGGCCTTGAAGAATAGGCAGGTCGTGTTGGACTTATTTAAACAATGTGACTTGTTCTGGGACGTAAAAGAACACTTACAGAAAGGTGACGGAATCGTTCCCTTTTTAAGAAATTGCGCCATCTACCCTAGACCAGCATACCGCATGTTGAATTCAAGAGTCGACAACGTCAAAAAGATGCAAAAATAATTCACTGATGTGGCATTAAAATTATATGCTTCATTCTTGAGTCCTTGTGAGCTATGCAAAGTGCCAATCTTATATGAACCATGAAGTGGGTTTGAACACGCTAAAGGAGCTTTCGTATTTTTTACATTCAAGAATACAAAATATGGATGCATCGATATAATGATATTTACTTCTTCAAAACGAAAAATGTATATACTTTTAGTCAGATCAGAAGAAACTCTCATACTGTAGATTCTTAAAACCTCGGGCTAAAGGGATTTTTGGATAAAATTTCTCTTTATTCTCAGGGACACGCCAAATATTGCACATGAAGTAGATATTTCCTGCAGTAGGTTTCTCCTGAAGCGCATAGGCAGACGTGCAACTTTTCTTTGGAGGCATTTTTTTCTAGCCATAGCGCCTTAAAACGTGGAAAAGCCGGGAATGTGAAACCGTAGACTGAATCCAAGGAGGTTTTTTTTAACAAATCTGGTCTTATTTCCCTATTGATGGGACCTGGTTCTTTCACGAAACTTATTTTATCTTGCAATCCCAAACTATTTTTTACTTAAGACTGTTCAAGCAATCGTACTCCCCTTGGCAATTCGTTAACTTTTTATCGAATATGGGCTTTTCTCCCACCTCCTGCTCTCGCTTATTCGCTTTACTTATTAAACAGGTGCCGGAAAACAGCACTCTACTCGCATGTCATATTCATTTGTGGGCCGTAAATTTTATATCGACGTCGGTTCTGATTTAATGTTGTAATAAGAGAATCTAATTCACTTTTTGCATGCAAAAATCAAATGATCATAGCTAGTCACACAAAACCCAACTCCGGTTGTACGCATTCCTGTTGTGCTTTTCGTCTTTGATTTTATGCATTCCTCAGTGATGCTAGAGACTTATGCACTTGTTCTTCTAACCGCAAACTTTGAAAAAGCAAAAATGTTGACATCTATATTAAACTACCTTCATAAATGGAGTTGTTTAGTGTTTGCGCTTGCGATTTTATAATGATGGAATAACCGAGATTTTAATGATTTCATTCCATCAAAAATAAGTATCCTCTAGATACCATTTAGCGTTTGATTAAGATGTCTACGATAACACATTTTCTCTGTTGAAAAATCATGATTACTTTAGGATAATTTGAAAGGGACTTTTGGCACAGGCCTCTCTCGGCTATAATGTCCTTTGTCTAAATAACAATCCAAAAGGATCTTCACTTGAGATTGAGTACGACTGGCTGATGACAGCTAATAATCCGGAAATTGCCATTTCGGTTTCCCTTGTCTTTGTCTGTATCATATCGTCTCTTTCTACTACCACTCGCTACGCGACTGCCTGTGGGGGTTCTAGTATGACCCTCAAGGCACAACGGAACTAGCATATTTGTAATCTGATCAGTGAGCGCCCATCTGTCATAATTAACAAGCTATGTTAATAGAAGCAAAGTGGCGAGTTCCAGGAAACAGTTCGTACCGAAAACGGGTAAGGACCGATGAACAATCATAACGTCAAATACGACACAGCGGCGAACTCGAGCGCAGCCAATAATTATATATGGCCGTCTGCTAACTGCGTCCTATAAGCATTCAGCCCCTTGTGCTTCCATTAGTCCTTTCTGCGAGTGTCTCTGAAGGCTGATTCAATCGAGAATCCCAAGCCCCAGGCCAGCAAACCTCTCGTTTAACTGATCGTATCTTCTCCTTCTGACCAGTCCATGTATAACTCTTTTACCTGTAAGGATATAATTGTGCTCTTATCACCCCCGAGGCATTTGAATAAACAGCTCGGAAATTGCAAGTGAACTGACCATTCGACATTCCGGTGGCCATCTTTGGGTTGGTGGATCTGTCTAAGGTTGCGGCTGAAATGAAAACGTTCTCATTTTTGCTAGGGCATAAATCAGCTTCGGATTCATCTGTCGAATTGATTATGCGTCCTCCGGCCGTCTCGTAGAGAGTCAACCGATGGCCACCCGAGATGACAGCACAAATAATTGGTTTCAGTACATCATGTACCCTGCTCGGCGGTATTCCTTCCCCACCTTTCGACGTGTTCGGTTGAATAGCACAGGGGAAACTGAAGGGAAAGAGGTAGTTGATAGGCTCAAAAACGTCCGACTTTTCTAACTGAGCTTCTCCAATCCTCGGAGATTCGATTTCCCAGACTTTGATAGCCGCACCACCTGTTGAGCATAACGTTTCAACAAAACTGCGGAATGACTGACTTTTTAGCAAGAAAATATTAAATGTCTAATAGGTCAGACGCAAGAACTTTTGAGGATCTATCAATGCAAAATCCCTATGCACTGCTAGACAGAAAGTTTGCATTACAGTTATAAAAAGACAGGGAAATCATGAGTGAATGAAGGGAAGGTAATCCAAACTGAACCAAACCCAGTGAAATTTAGAACACTAAATTGAACATACTGTAAATTGCAAATACTTTCATGCAGGCGCTTTTAAGGAAGCTCACGAGGGACATCCTTTCACATCAATTCGATAAATTCAGTCTATCGAAAACGCAAGCTATGATTTTGATATGAAGGTGGAAAGGGGCGAAAAACAGTACTCTATGAAATTTAATGCGGGAGCCACACAACAAGGCTGAATGCCCTTGGGTATAATTTAGCGAACGGAATGAGTGCAGTGACAGTTTTTCGTTTACTCCGTCTTATTCAGCTGTCCTAGGACGATGGCCAGAATGCAGGTTGACAACTATAGCCCGGCTTTCTCAGGTGTTACCAATGAATGCAGCGATGGTTAAGAACAAAAAGACAATATTTGCATAAAATGTTTCAAGGGTATCATTATGCGTGCTTTTCCAAAAGTCCCAGACCATAACTCTGAGTCCAAGTAATTGTCCGCAGTTCGTCCTAGGACAAGTGTGAAAATGACGCTTAAATGCGACTTTGAGTATTCGCTATCATATTCAACACTGCATATGTAAGTCCCTGGCTCTTGTTCAAGATTGTCCGACTCAAAGAGCTATTAAAACCAAATTTAAAATTCCTGGTGTAACGGTGTGATATTGTCGGCGATACCTTAGCCGAGATGCTGACCCATCGGACCCTTAAATCTCAGTGCAATTGGTCACTGTGCAATTTCGCCCAACGCTCCATTCACTTGAGTTGTCAAGTTGGTTTCCCACCAGATAGGATTCAGAGTATGTGGAGTGACACAGAAATGACCTTGACTGACTTACCCTTATTGTGGGGAGGAAATGGACATTGCCATTCTTAGACCTCCGGGTAAATAGTTACTGTAACTGGTTTCAAATTTCGGATACGGCAGCACCTGCGTTTAACGTACCACTAGCTATTGACAGCGAACCAATCGGAAATGACCATTCCATTGTCCCATTGTGGTCTAAATCTTTAAATATGGCCGGGGCTTTAAAAAGTCAAATCAGTCAGTTTGTGATAGCCTCGAAACCCCTCACGACTCGAAAATCAGAATATGGGGTATTCCTACCCAGGGACACACATTTTTGTGACCCGGAGACCTGGGCAGTTTGACAAATGAAAGTCAGCTCCCCCTAACCTTCCTCCGAGTAATATAGACGGTAAACAGCAAGAATAGACATTGGTATGCAGATGCGGAAACCAGCCGATAAGTTTAGTGTACATACCGTGCTGAAGCACATTCAAATTCGAAAGGGAAGTCAAACTGCAATGATACCTTGGAGTGTGTCTGCTGAAACGATGTTTCTGCGAGGACATCTTTACGATTACTTGCGGGCATGGCACAGAAATATTACCTACATCAAGTATCGGCAAAATAAACTCAGAGAACTCTTTGCATAAGACCTTCAGCCACAACAAGCAGCCGAAGAAGCTTAGGCAAACTGAAGGCAGTAGACTACGGGAAAGTAAAAAGCATGCAAAACTCTCAGGACGCTATCATCACCCTTTTGTCAATATTTCCCACCAGTCAACATAATACTCATATGACTGAAGTTGGTCTCCTCATCTGCATCACATTTCAGCCCCGGTTTTCCCTTATTGGACACTTTTGTACATGTCAGGAAAGGGACCGCGGCCACCAGTGAAGGAGATATCGTATAAACTTTTCTGCTCCGTCAATGAGCATTTCTACCACAAATCGACTTGATTAGACACCAAAAAGTCCACCACACTTCAACCGGGGAACTGGCAACCTGTGTTCAATGAACAAATGGCCATCCACCCTCTGTGTTCACACTGTTTGCGCATATTCGACGGAAGGGTGGACTTATTTCACCATATAGGCATGCACGGCAACGAAAAGTGAAATATCATCCACAGCTTATGTGCATACCATCTCCTAACTTGCAGAAACAGCAAAATCCTTCTGGTTGTATAGGCACAAATTTGAGTCGTCGTATCCTAATGCATTAGCCCAGGGCGAACAGCATCGAATATTCGTGTGTGCATGCATTCATGTCTGGGCTCGGCATACGACAGGGCCATCTGCGTCATGCTAGTCAATTCTACCATTCTAAATTCCAGTCAGCCGGCAGGCCTGGACAGGTCACTGGTGCAGGGGGTACGGAAGAGACAACGAAACCATTACTGGGATATCCCTTCCCGTGGCCGTTCAATGTATTCTCTCCTATAACCAACCGGAAACGCTTGAGTCACCACAGCGAGTTAAAAATCTCGCCGCAGAAGCTTGCCAGTTGAAGATAACCAGAGTCTTCTTTGTAAAGACTGTCGGACTGAAATTATGCCTACCAATGCAATCATTGCGGAGTCTCTTTTTGAATGGAGAGCCCATGTATGTCGGCTGTTAGACGACGACTTTATGTCAGACATTGCGCCAAATCTCACTTCAACTCAACAGGTCAGTGAGACGTGGAATATGCAGGAGGGAGTGAGGTCGTTCCATTCCAAGTCAGGAGATGATTTCCTCCCTTCATGCCTTCATGTTCGCCTTAAATCTCATACGAAGCGCAAACAGTAGTCAAACGCACTGTCGCCAGAGGGCGAAGTACTTGTCCTTCCCTTAAAACGGTCAGACAAAAAGAGACAATTTTTCATGTGGACTTTACGGCACCACTACGTATTATTGAGGACATGACCGTCAGAAAAAGGAACCAAACGAGTGTGCGACACATGGAGACGGGTCATTTACTCTTCCCCATCACCACCACCACCACCTACACCACAAAAAGTAGCGTTATCTTATCCACTGTGTTGTTGTCGGTAAACGAAGTGGGGATAGTTCAAAAATTCAGATGTTCATTTAATCTTCCATATATCTGCGGTGCCTCATTCGCTTCTCGTTTCTGAATTGCCTGCTACCAAAACTGTTGGTCGGCAAGTTGAAAATGCACGATGAATATTCAACAAATCGGTTGCATGCGCTGAAATCTTATGTCAAGGGAAACGCTTCAGAGTCTCGAGTAGTGCGAAATACCGATTTATGATGAATGATTCACAACAGGTCAATTTTAACGAATCTGATTGTATTACTTACATCTCAATGGTCTGTTTGTTATTTATCGAAATTCTTGCGGAGAGATGTTTATGAATACATCGAAATCATTCGTCCCGATAATACCGCACTCTCTTGAGTCGTTCCCTGACGCGTCATACGTTGCTGCTCTTCGGGTATGAACACTGAAGGGATACGTATTTGCTTTGCATATCCGGTTCATTGTGCTTCGCAGTTTTGTGGCCACATATTGGGCTATTAGCGAAGTGTAGTTTAGAATCATGTAATTAAGCTGACATCGCTGTAGGTTTGCGATGGCATACCTCGCCGCTTCGGTCATGATGCCAGTATCCGAAGAGATCACCTTCATGCGATTATTGCCCGTCCGATAATTCGGACCGTTGGGTTTACCGCTCATCTTGTAATATTAAAATACAGACGCCAAACTTTTCGTTAATTTATGGGTTAAAGAAGACTGGCCATTAGATTTATTGCACTGTTTCCTTTGGCTTTGTAAAAGTTGCTCGTATGTCCCCGTCCTTCGTCACAAGGTTAGCAAATAACTATAGTTTTGTACACCAAACAGTGTCATATTTCGGATATATGGTTTTTGTCGGTGGTTCAATGTATACCGCTTGTTTTTGAACACCAATTTCCGTTAAAGTTATCGGCACATCAATTTCATGCGGCGCACTTAACTTATTCTGCTATATGTTTAATAGCGTTTCCGATTACTTAACCAAATGTGCCTGAGGTTTGCGGGAAATGTTTCATTGCGTTTGATGTCTAAAGTACACAAATAGATTTCATTAAACATCGCAACTTCGTCAGCCGTGTTATGCAGCAGAATAAATATCAAAACGGGCGTAGACGCGTCCTTTAACCCCCTTTTTTCAACAACTACCCTCCATGTAGTTCCACAGTTTCATCTAGCCGCATAGTGACAAAACTAATGTAGTCGTCTTAGCTGTCAAGCTCGGTCACATCCTTCATTCCCTACCAGCATTTTAATCATTAGCAATAAACTTAGATGGGCAGTTAGTTGTGACATACCCGTGGAGATCTTAGTTTGGTCAGATTATGTTTTCTTGATTGTTTTCTCACCCTTCTATCATGAATTCTACTTTACGCAAACATATATTATATATAAACTCTTTAGATTCGTTCCTGCATACCAGTTAGGAGATTTTCAAAAGTTGCATCAAACGCCATTGAATAGATATGTTGCTCCCAGTTAGAGGTCGTGGGATCTTCAACGACCTAAAAAGTCACAGTCAGTGGGTAGCATGTCTTTTACGCGAGGAGATATTTATAAATAGCTAATGTTCAATCAATAACAAAATAATATCACACTTATTTATAACTGAAAGACCTAAAATTTTCCCAAGACAGCGTCCCAGGATGGGTTCCACAGTCGGAGGTTTGTCGTATTCCCCTTCCAAATGGGACTCTTTCCGATGACTGTTGTGGTTAACGCATACACACATTACCATAACCGCTACTAGTTTTCAGGTTCCGACTGCCGCATGGCCCGCCACTTTGTTTGCCCAAAATATTATTTTCGTTGCCACTGGAATAAAAGTGGGAGCCTTTTCCAGGGACCGGTAGCAGTTGGGGGTAATTAAGGTCGCTTTGCACATTCGTTTCGTCTCGCGCACAACTGACAGTGAAACTGACGTACACTTTCTTAAGGCGGCTCCGCTCACTCCGAACTTTAATGATTACAAGGTGCTTCAACCTCGGTCTTTCTCAGTTGTGGTCTGGAAGGTTACAAGCTGACGGAATAAGTGTCTCCCCAACATGGAGAGGTGGACCGCAGTGGCTCCCTAATGTTACGTTTATGGCATCTTTCACTTCCGCACTATCATAGCGCGTGCGTGACAGGCTTTTAAATTGAGACTTCATGTCATGCTAACCATTGTATTCATCTGACCGACGATTGGGTCAACTCGGATAATCCATTTGTGTACTGTGGAGAGAAGAACAAGTGAGCGTACGAATTAGATGTCATACGGTCAGACATAGGGCCGTTCTCTTTTCGTGCACTTGGGGCTTTTGAGTTTTTAGCACATATCTCTAACAGACAGACGTCATTGGGAGTAGCCTCTGTAGAGAACCTACGCCTCGTTCAGAAAAGGAGAGATTGGAAGCAATGCCTTATCAGCGAAATTCCCTAGCAAGGGCCACATCAAATGAACTTCCTATTGTTTTCTGTGTTCGCAAAAAAATGAGCTTACAGGCAATTGTTTTCAGTCATTATTCGGCAGGTTATGTACCGTAAGTCTCTAGTTAAAAACGTAGCAACCTGTGCCGTCAGCTGGGTTTTGATAGCTCTGTCGGATTTCTGAATGATCACAAGAGCCGACCATTTGACTGCCCTCATCCTCCGCGAATTTTTTATCTTCTCTGTAAAAAGATCCTTACGATAGGCGATATGTGTCCCATGATGATGATGATGATAATAATAATAATAATAATAATAATAATAATAATAATGAATGTCAATAGCTTTCGTATTCCAGTGTTCCATGGAGAAGACGAGACCTGTTCTCTATTGGCATGGATAACAACCAGGCAGTTACCTTCCAGATCGGAAAATGGCCATGGAGGTTGTATCAAAGGCCGAAATGACAAATATAGTGGATGCTGAGCAAACGCCCGCTTAAGGCTTATTCTGTGTTCTCTTGAGAGCGCTTGTGACTGAACACCTATACCATACGCCTAAACACAGGACACAGGGTCCACGGACGAGGTAAGACCGTGTTTCTGACTGTCACGACAGCAAACCGGCCTTGGCATCATGCACAAGTAGCTGAAGTGGCACATGGGGAGGAAATTTTAATTATCCCAAAATAAAGACAAAGTCCTTAAAAACTTAGCTTGGCTGGATTTCTATTCGTTCAACTAAATCCTCGGAAATTTTTATTTACGGCCTGGATGAGGTGAAGATTTGCACTGGCCTGTCCTGTCTGCAAAACGGAAATGGGAACTTCCGTTTCGCCCTGAAGCTCCAAGTTTAGAGTCGGTCCGAACTCTTATGAATAAATGACATTTCTAGCAAAACATACCTGGACGCACTCGCGGAGCTCCACGTTCCACACCCGAAAGGTGCGAGACGTCGAAAGGCTGACGAGATGACGAGTCGGTTCGTGATAGGCCAGGGCGCAAATAGCAAACAGATTGCCTTTCAGTGCACCTATTGGACGGCTAAGTAGGAGAGGGTGCCACAGTCTTATGAGTCGATCTCGTCCTCCCGTGGCTATAAGGTTTAAGCTTGAGCAGAAGGCGAATGTCGTTACTCCTTTTGGGATAGTGGCGCATTGTGTGCCCCTTTATGTAAGGAAATGATGTAGTTTACGATCGAGGCAGAATTTTGTTTTTCTTTTATAAGCATGGATTATATGGGAATAGACAAAAAATGACTCGTGTAGACGAGACAAGCAAGTTACTACTGTGGAGCCCACCCAACTATCTCACTTTCTGTTATTTTTTGGGCTTGGAGCCCCAGTGGTTGCCTACACTTGAGGTATTAGGTTGTAAAGCTTATGTTATGATCTCCGCTTTCTTGACCTGTATGGCGATTAAACGGACGCAGTTTCTCTCCTGGACACTGAAGCGGACACCAACCATCGAAAAAAACAAAAACTGCAGTAGTGCATCGGTGAATTGAATGTGGGCTGAAAATGTCCCCCAATTTTGCTGTTTATCTTCGAAACGAGTCTTGACTGTTGTCATGCAACCTCTCGTATGTCACTCGCATTTTTAATTAAGCGACTGCTCCTTGGTTGACTTTTAAAATATGAATTCCTGCGGAATTATAATCTTGAATCCAAGGAGTCGTATTGAAGCCCTCTTTCTTGAATCGGAACTCACAGTGCACAATTCCCTACAGTAACTTTTCAGTGACCATCCATTTTTTGTTAAGTATGAATCGCAGTCATAAATAGACTTAATCCTTGATGTGTGACAGAAAAGCTCCATCTAAGGTAAATTTTTGACTCCTTGTTTATTATTACGGTGAAAGTATGCTGAAAACGACTGGTTTAGAAGGAGGAACATATGGTGAAGTTGGTAGCCCTGTCGACTCCCGGAAAGTGGATTTCTAGCCGAACAACTTAACAAGTGTGCACCTAAGTTCAGTAAAAGTTACCTACTAAAACGAAAACCTTTAACTAAACAAAGTATTGTGAATTGGAGGACTGGTTGGTCCAAAGACACCAAAGTAGGATAGCGCTTGGGAACTTACTTGTTGCCGGCCATATTATGGTACTGATCGACCACCAAAGAGCGAACTGAACTTTGTGAGCAGGAACACACCGCCGCGTACTGAGGTAGATAGAGGACCTGTAGGACTTCCATGTCATGCACTTTCCTCTTGAAATACATGCTGCAATAAGTAAATCCACTGAATATATTCAGTTTACTCTGCAGCTGGACGCCATTCAGTCGTCTTTTGTGCATAAATCTACGACAAATGTATGAGACGAGTTAATAATTCGAGCCAAATGTTGTGGTCCCTGGACTTCGTCGGTCCCTTGTTTGCGTTTCCCGCTGTCTGTCTTTGCGTTTACAGCACATCGCTCCACTCTCTTTTTGTGACTTCAGCCTTTGATTGCCCCATAAATGTCTACTTCTGGTGTTTTAATGAATTATTCCCTTCTGCACCAACTAAGGATCACTGAACTTCTATGTGCAGGCACAAAAGCAAGCGCAATGTCTTAAATTCCCCTTAGCCCTAAGTGGTCTGAAACAAAAATAAGGTAAAATACCGATCGCATAAAACTTTTTAGTCCCGGAAGCTTTGCCCCATTATTATAAAGTCGTTAAATATGATTTACTTCGATTTTGGTTATTCGGACGTGAAATGTCAAACTTGTTTTCTGGCTTTGTAGATGTGCAAATCTGTGCAAAGGGCTAGAACCATCATAAACCCGCCAGAGGGATTGCACAGACAAATGGTACACAGAAGGAGAGAGGGTAGGGTAGGTCCGGTGTTAAGGTTCCTTTGGACTAAAAACTAGACACGCCTTTGAACTATCACAGCAAGCTGTCTGACATCGCTTGGCAGTTTGTCAAACGACAGATAAATCTGATTTTTTCTTGAGTGAACGTTTAACTGAAATGACCCCTTCCCTAGATGATCTTTTTGGGAACTCCAGCAGAGAGATACAAATTCCCATTTTTGGAAAGTGTTCAAAATGGCGTTAGAAACTAATACCTGTGTCGTATGCTCATATACGACTGCTGACGCTGCTTCTTCTCCCATCCCCAATTTTTTTCTGATTTCGTCACTTTATGGAAATCTGGCCACTGACCACTATAGCATCTTTTGGCAGCTCTAGATGTGTTGCCGACAGTCATCATTACAACATCTGGCATCCTTGTTCAAGGTCCCGCTGCCTCAAGGCCATTTCCCCTCACAGCTACCGGCTCCAAACTCGCTGGCCGGCAACCACTTGACCGAATTCTGCTCAGAAACACGTGCATCCAGGCAGTCACGGTTGCCCGACAGTTCGACCATCGTTTTTGACGATGCTCCTCAGCAGGATGGGAGCATGGATGGAGACTTGCGCGTGAGTCAGGTTAAAGTGATAGTAGACTCGTGCTGCAACTACCGCACTCTCTCTTCCCCCACCTGGGCCCGGTCTCAAGACAGAGTCAAGAAGGCCAAAGGTAGGAGAGAGCGCAGGCGCCTGGCATCCGCCTCCACTGTCCGCATTGCAATCGCACATCTATTCACCGCATGGGTCTATTAGACCACATGCGCGTCCACGAAAACCTGCGGTAGACCACCGCCTGCTGCATCAACCCATCACATCCTCCCCCCACCAGCATATCTCCGCACATTAATCTCACCCACCTCAAACACCTAACCGCCATCTTCCACGCAAGTGGGAAGCATGCGTCTCAGCTCCTTTTTTATGCGGCCCCCGAGCTTCATGTGTGATCGGAGTCCGAGACTGCCACGGTGCGTCGAGCGCCGCGGCTCGGAAGGAAGCCGACTGAGACCCCAACTCAGTCCACGCAGTCCGTTCAAGTGTTAGTGTTTGCGTGGAGCGGCGGACTGGTGGGCTGAGGGCCAGGCTGAAACGGCTCCTCCAGTGATCTGTGGCACTCTCCTGTATGTGATGATAGTGTGCGTACTCTATGAGTAGTGCCTCTCAGTCGATAACTCAGTCGAGGACTGTTTCGTTACCTAACCTTGAAGGGTGATGGCCCAGACTATATGCAGGACCAGGTGTCGCCCTTCTAGGTCATTGGTCTGTAAACGTGTCCTATGCCAGTGTCAGCAAACCGTGGCCCTCGCAGTCTGGTTTGCGCTGGCAGTTCCGGGGCACCTGGTTCCCTGCTTGCGCTCCCATTAGGTACACAGGTGATGGGCATGACTGCCCAGTCACCCTGGCCGCTCTGGCCCCTATTGGGATGTTGTTGTCGGGGAAAAATCGTGGTCATTTGCTGTGTGGACCAGGGAGTGTGGTGGCACGCCTAGGTGCGGCTCCGGCCGTTCCAGCCAACTGCGCCCTCCCCCCATCTCCGGTCTTCCTGACTCTGTCTTGACATCGAGTCCAGAAAGGGGGTAGGGAAAAGAGAGTGTAGTAGACGCTGCGCAAGTCTACTACCACTATAAACTGGTTCACGCGCAAGTCACCGTCCTGCTCTCACTTTGCAGTGGAGCACACGGTAGACAGTGTCGAACTCGACGGTCGAACTACCAGCTGGCACGAAGACAATCGAGACATGAGCGCGTGCCACCACACCGGCTCTAATTCAGTTGAGTGAGAGTGCCGTTGAAGTCTGAATCTCAGTCCACTAGTCGACCACTCCACACAATCACACACTTGGCTGACTGCGAGGTCCAAGTTATCCAGTCAGTTGGCCGCCTTCCAAGCCACTGAAATAGGTTCAAGTGCGTCAGATTGCTTATAGCGAGGACTATGTGCTGAGACCGTCGACCACACTCTCTTTCCACTCCCCAGTAGCAGTTTACCGTCCGAACCGACCAATTCTTTGATGCGGGGACTGGGCCCAATGTCTGACAAAGTTAGACAGCCTCTCTGCGCGCGCCACATACACGGCCCGGCCCGTCAAATGCACACACTAGGATTATCCACAAGGACGAAACTGTCCGGATATCACACAAGTGAGAAAGTACCATTAAGGAGGAGACATTTCAGTCGGCTTCTTAATCCACCAGTCGGCCACTCAACACACAAGCATACAACAAATGAAACCTCAATTGGTAACTTTCCAAATCACGGTCTCTAGCGCACTGTAGTAGTCTCAAATGCATCATATTGCTTATAATAAGGAATTGCAACGGAAGGAGTCGAAAAGCACACTCCCCTTTTACGTGAGAGGTGCCGGTGATGTGGGATTTTGGATGTGTTCATGTGTGGTGCATGTATTGATGGATGGATGTGTGGTGATGCGCTAATGTCTTCTGTGACGAACTATAGGTTTCCATGGAGGTGCATGTGACCCAATAAGTCCATCCGATGGCTGAATGTGCGAGGGCAATGTGGGCAGTTGAGGCCATGGCGTCTATTGTATGCTGGTGCAACGGGTGCCGGTTTGTCTGTCTCTGTACGATGAATTCGCTAGTGGCCAACAAGGCAGACGCTTAATTTTAATGTGCGATGACAGTGTGGCGGGATAGCTTGGAGGATGTTGGGTCGGTTGTCGTTGTGGTGCTGCTAGTGGTTGTTGCGCTCATACATGGGAGTTAATTAGACTGGGAACGGGAAAGTTAGTGGAGGTGAAAGGTGTGCTAAGTGTGCGAGATGTTCTAGGATGCTCACTTCTCACTTGAGTACACAAGCCCTCGACGAATGTAACAATTTGGCGGCAATTGAGCTTGCTGCACAAACGTCTGCCGTCACTTATCTCATTCTCCCAGGCGTGGCTGGGAACATTCAACGCTAGCCCCGGCTTCGCCAACGACCTCTGATGCCTAGGACAGCAACTCGGAGTGCGGTGCACAATTAATTTCTTTTCCTGATGTCTTCTGCCTTTTTCTGCTAATCGGGACTTGGCCTGATGATTAAGGCGCTCTGAGTATCCTCAGTGCTCAGATGCTACGGATGTCCTCACTTGCCACCGCTGACCTGCTTAGTACGTACAAACAAAAACACATCCTCGAGTTAGCGCGTATGAAGATAGTTATAGGGGCTACTTCCTAACGAAAACGGATACAGATGGTTGAAAGCGCCATAAAAAATTGTCAAGGCTTTATATTTTAAATAGAAGACATTTTGAAATAACGACTTGTTGCGAAAGTATGTGTATGCAAAAGTGCATGTAGACTTATCTGAGCAAATTCATACCTTTTAAAATTGCATGGTGAAATGGCCTTAGTGAAGTACCTCGTCCCGCGACCTTGTATGTCTCGGGCTGCAGCGTGTCTGATTGGCGTCAATGAGTCTGATTCCGGAAATGTCTGGTCCTTCGGTAATGCCCTCTGTGCGATGCTTACATTGCTAGCTAATTCTGCCTCAGCTAATAACTTAGGGCTGATGCTGAGGAAGTGTAGCCAACCTTTAACGTCGCCGAATACAACAGTGCCCTGGTCGTTCATCTCCACGTTGTCTGTCATCTGATCGATCTTTCTACCATCAGCGTTTATTTTACCTGAACGGAACCATTTAATTTCATTGGAAGTATCGATGAGACCAATGCAGGTCAGTGTGGCCGGGAATGGTCCTATTGACCTCCTCTCCTGAAATAAAGTGCGATAGTAATTAAAGTTTTAGCAAAACTTGATCCTTATAACATGGCATGTAAGAGGAAGCAGGTTACTTGATCGGCTAGTAAAGAATCTAACTGTCGCCGTGGACTTCGATAATTCATGATTGTTTGGTGTAGATCGCAATCCACCTCACTATCATCCGTCTCCTCTCATGCGAATGGGCAGCCAAAGAGCCTTTATTTTCGACGGGATTATACGCAAGTTCGGCAATATAATCGAGAATAACTGCCTGATTTCCAAACAAAAGATGCATAGGAGTATGATCACAAGACTCCTATGCTCAAATTCATATCTCTAATTAATTCAGTGCCATTAACCAAGATTTACCACACCGAAAGCTCAACATACTTAACTCTCTGATAGCAAGGCACAATTCTGAGCGTCGCATGATGACGCGACTACTTAGCTGTCACGCATTCAATATCTTAGACATCCAGTGGTAGGTAATGTTTTGCCATAAAATGCTTTTCAACCTTTAAGACGTAATGTTATTTCCCCGCTTTTCTCGACATGAGAACGTTAGCTTTGTTTAAACGTTAAATATTTAGTCATAAACTATCGCCGCATTGTGATCATCAAGCCAGTCCATCTCCACTAGCATTTGAGTCGCCCA